GGCTGGCGGTTCAAACCCACCAGCCACTCCTCGGAAGGAAGGTTGGGCAATCTACTTCCATAGTGATACTGCCTCGGAAACCCAAGGAGGGGTCACCATGAGTCGGGGCCGACTTGACAGCACATAACAACAACAACAACAGTTCATATAGAACCAAAAGATGACTGTTTAATAATTTTCATTCATTTTCACTGATATATTAACCCAAATGATAATCTGTATCCTACACCAGTTGGGCTGCACTGGTTCAGCCTTCCTATAAGGTCAAGATCTCTTCTTTAAAACCATATATGACAATTATGTTTTTTGAGTAGAATGCTATGCATTTACCTACATTTGTTTTACAGGTTGTTCTAAAGGTTTTGGATCCCAGCTTTGAAATAGAAAACCCTTACAGTCCTTACATCCAGGGTATGAATTGGTTTATATTTTTCATACCAACTTTCATAGTATGAGCATGCATTCCTTATTTTCACATTTCTGTAGTCATCAAGTGGGTATCAGTCAAGGAGTGTTCCTTGAACTAATGGCACCTCAGTGAACTTTGATTCATTATTTTCCTTTCTCTAGACCTTGTGACACTAACAAACTTGAGGATAAACTTTACCAAACTCCATACTCTTGGTGATACTTTACTTGGAAGGAGTCAAAATGATTCCCTTGATAAATACTACTATGCTCTGTACAAGATGGTTGTTCGGGGAAGCTGTTTTTGCAATGGTCATGCTAATGAGTGTGGCCCAATGCAGAAGGTGCGGGGAGATGTTTTCAGCCCTCCAGGAATGGTGAGTTATGAATCCAAAAGAGGGCTTTGGCTCTCCTGCCTGCTCTTCACTATCCTAGTGCTGAGTATAGATCAGAAGTGGCAGCTTTGTGTTGGCACAGGTAGTATTCAACCTTCTGGTTGACCTAGACAGAGGTTCCTATGGATTCTGCCACATACTGGGCATCCAGCAAAGATCATGGCTACATCATTGAACTAATGAGCAGAATTTATGATAATTGATTCTCTTTGTCTCTTAGGGAATGGATAATTTCATGTTCATTCTCTCACAAAAATTGATTGAAGACCTGTTGTGTGTAAGCTCCTGTACTTAGTGCTAAAATGTGTCAGTAACATCTGACAAGGGGAAAATGGCTACTGACAGTAACAGTGTTACCTAACGACTGGCTGTGTCTTCCACTGCAGATCTCTCTTACTCCTGAGGCTAGTCTTAAAAGACTGAGGTATTAGAATTGTATTTCTATGTAGAGCCCTAAGGAGTGTGGCAACTAATACTTTTAAATTATTTATTAGCATAATCACACAAGGCTTCACGTTAAGGCTGTCACACCTTCACACTCTGCTTTCTCTAGGTTTCACTGGAAATATTTTCTCCCTTTGCAAAATGCTCCATTGAAGGCATTTTGTGGAAACCGAAAAGAATCACACACCTATCCTCAAATTCTTTACCTTTCTAACTCTGTATTTGCCCTTATATTCCTAAGTCATGTCATACACACACACACACACACACACACACACTCCCTTCCCTAGCCTAAGGACTGAAATATTCTGCCCTGAACCTAGATTTCAGAAAAGCCAAAAAACATATTGTAAATGTGCACAAAATATCCAAAATTTTTTAAAATATAAAAGATAGTTAGCAAATAATAAAAACTGTTCAAGCTTGGTACTATAATTAACATAGGGGAAGCTAAGACCCAGAAAGGCCCCATGCCTCATATTTCATTTTCCATTTAAAGAGCCCAAAGTCCTCCAAGATAAACCCTCTTGTACCTCTTTGTTTACTTATCATCCGATGTAGGTTCATGGTCAGTGTATCTGTCAGCACAACACAGATGGCCTGAACTGTGAAAGATGCAAGGATTTCTTCCAAGACACTCCTTGGAAGCCCGCTGAAGGCCCCCAGGACAGCACTTGCAGACGTGGGTAACAATGAGTTCTCAGCAGTGGCTGAGAGCACTCAATATTTTCTTCTTTTGAGGAACTTTTAGTTCATTCTGTGGGAGCAGGGGACAAAGATGGTGAACTTCTGGCTCCCAATTCCAGTTTTGTGACATCCTAGTATCTTCAATTGGAGCTCTGGTGGTATAGCGATTAAATCATTTGGCTGCTAACCAAAAGGTTGGTAGTTTAAACTCACCAACCACTCCACAGTAGAAACATGAGGCATAAAGATTCATACTTCCATAAAGATTTACAGCCTCAGAAACCCTATGGGGCAGTTGTACTCTGTCCTACAGGGTCGCTATGGGTTGGAATGAACTTCATGATGGTGGGTTATACCTGTGGATCTCATCCTGTTTGGAGATAGGACATTTATTACATTGACTAGATGCATACCTCATTGAGGTGGGTTCTATATCTAATCACTTTGACTGATAAACAGATTACACACAGAAGTAAGCATGAGATTGGGGGGTGGGGTGGGATTAAATGTCACATGAAGGTTGCCAAGGATCTGAGGAACTCGGGGCTTCAGAAGCTTAAAGCAACAGGGATCATCCCCCAGAATCAACAGAGAGTGAGCTTCCCCCTAGAACCAGCGTCCTGAATTCAGACTCCTAGCCCCTAAACTGTGAGAAAATACATTTCTATTATTTAAAGCCACCTACTTGTGGCATTTTTATTATGGCAGCATTACCAGACTAAGACATAACTACACAGAAAATATGAGGTAAAAATTCAAATCTGTGAAACATAAACCAGTAAACGTATTGTTCACTGAACAGCAGAAATACTGCACTGTAGGGCTTTTAGATCACTCGAGTGATTAGGAACCTGGGTGGCCCAGGAGGCTTGGGAGTGGCCGCAAAGGTAGAAGGCAGCTCCTGGGAGGAGAGGCCTCTCAATCTGCCTCACAGCCCAAAAAACCCTGAGGAGCAATTTTTCTCTGTCACAGGGTGTTGTTATGAGTCAAAACTGACTCCCTGGAAGCTAACAACATGCAGCAAACATTTCAGTTAACACATTTTATAGAAAGCAGATGGACAGAACCATAATTCTAGAAGACTCCTTTGAAAGCACCCATTTTAACCCTTTGTATACTTGGTGTATCAGTAGAAAGAAGACAGACCAGCTAAAAGATGGCAAAGTTTAGAAAACGCGGTGATTAATTCCTGAAAGCCTATTAATCCCAGAACCTCAGCTAGTCTCCCAGTAACTCTGGTCTCTTTCTTCAGCATGTAGCTGTAATGGCCACTCTGACCGCTGCCACTTCAACATGACTGTGTACCTGGCAAGTGGTGGGGTAAGCGGAGGCGTGTGTGAAGACTGCCGGCACCACACGGAGGGACAGCACTGCCACCGCTGCAAATCCCTTTTCTACAGGGATCCCCTCAAATCCATCTCAGATCCTGACCCATGCATCCGTGAGTCCCCAGTCTTGGATCCCAACCTTTCCACTTGTTTGAGCAAATCCTGCTGGGTGCCAGTCCCCACTGCCTACCAGTAACTCCAAAATGCTCTACAGAAACAAACTTGTTGCTATGGAGTGGATTCTGACTCACAGTGACCCCAGTAGAACTGCTCCATGAGGCAAAGTACTCCAGAGTAAGACCTTTCTTCCATGGCTCCTTGGGTGGCTTGGTATGACTCACCTTAGGGTCTGAAGAGTAGGGGACTGCCAAAAATAAACCACTTTAATTTTAAGAGCTTTTCTTTTTCAAAACAAATCAGACCGAATTATCTAGTTCTCTCCTGGTAATCTTGCAACAGTGGCTGATAGTGGTGAATCTGGAAACTATTCTGAATTCAACCAGGAGGAGGCAATGATTTCAAACAATGCTGCAGAAACACCCTCATTGCCTGGAAGTCAGAGCAGGGAAGTAGCTCAGTTACCGAAATTGGCTAAAACATTTGATTTGCTGTACAGAATTCAATTTATTCTGCTTATTCTTTTTCTCCATTTTTTAACTTTTAAAAGTATTTTTATTTTCTCTTTAATCTCACTCTTTTTTAATGAAATCTTTCAACCATGCAAGAATAGAGAATAAAATAATAAATACCCTTTTACCCATTATGCAACTTTGTCACATCTTAATGTTTTACTTTATCACCTCCAGGACTTTCTTTAATAAAACACTACAGGAAAGGTTGATGTCCCAGCTGTACATCAGTCCCATTTGTCTGCCCTTCTTCCTAGAGATAAACTCACATATTTGGCATTTATCCTTAAAATGTTTTTTACACTTCTATATATTTTTGTATACACTGACATGCTTTCAAACTTTAGGTAAATGACATTATGCCCTGAGCACCTTGAGTGCTTCATTCAACATTATATTTTGACATTTGTCCCTATCAGGTAGCATTAGAACTTCAGTTTTAATTTCTATACAGAATTCTTTCCTATAAATATGACAAAATATCGTTGTCCCTTCTTCTTTTGATGATGCAGTAAACATTCTTGTATAAGTGACCTTATGCACATGCACAATGACTGTCCTTAAGCTATAACCAGAAGGAGAATTGTTGAGCCATTGGGTATGTGCTTCTTCAAATTGGCTAGATAATACTGACTTGTCCCCTAAGTCAAATGTCAATCAACACTCCCACCAAAAGTATATGAGAGTTCCTGTTCCTCCATATCTTTGTTGACACTTGGTTTTGTCACATTTGAATTTTTACTGATGTTGGGTTTTTCCACACTTTAGTTTTGGCTAATGAAATGGTATCTCACCATTGTTTTAATTTTCATTTTCCTGCAGGACTGGGACTAGAATGAAGCAAGTTCCCAAAGTTTAAGAAAGCTCTCATTTTCAGGGTCATGTAAGTGAAGGATTAGCACATAAACTAACCTGAGAGTGAGTGCCACCTCAAATTTTGCACCCTAGTTCCAGCCCTGCTGTCCATTCTTGCCTAGCTAAACACTCCAGCCTGATTTCAAATACCCAGGCTCAAGAACCAGGGCTGAGATTTTACCCTACTTGCAAACTAACAAGTTAGCTGATATGCTTCTGTGGATGCTGGTGGAAGACACAAGACTCCGGGGCCAAAGACAAGGACTTTATTCCTCACAGCACAGTGAGCAGCAAGAGCATTGTGTTGTGTTTCTCTTTGCTCTCCAAGTCCTGTGGGGTTGACACAAAGGATCCAAATGGATCCTGCACACCTAGTAAGTTTGGGTCACTGCTGAGAATTCAGCAGCACTTGGCAAATTCATTGTTTTTTAGCAAATGGAAGCAAGCCTGCGGCTTGTCTGCAGAAGAGCTTGGCCCATCCCTCAAGGCTTCTTTCTGCAAACACTACCCTGAGAAATTACTGAATAAAGAGCAAGCAAGGCCTTGTATTGTCTGCACTCAGTAACAATGGTCAGGACACACGAGACCTGGGGAGGCTTGCCTAGTCCAAAATACCCAGAAGTCCTGTTTCTGGGGCTACATCATTAATTTAAGGGTTATAAAACTGTAACTTCAAAATTAGAGTCATCAGAAAGCATGAAATAAAATCTTATGCAAAAGCAGTTCAGTAGCTACCAGAATACATATAAAGTCCTAGATTTCATCACAAAGTAGGAAACATAAATGAAGTTTTGCTAAAATTGCTCAATAGATATCTGAGTGCACAAAATTATGTAATCTATTCAAAACTATTACGAAGAACTGAATTCTCAGAAAATTCACTTTAAAGCATTCTTTAACTTCCTACTTGTCCTACAATTTTTACTGAAACTTGTAATGATGCACACAAACACATACACACACACTTGCACACACACAAACAACATTTACAAATGTTTGAAAAGCTATGTATTTGTAAAAGAAGATGAAATTGTCCTCTTGGGTGGGATCAAGGGAATGCAATGTTTGAAACAGATAATCTAGGAGTCTGGAAGTATGTTTGGAAATAAGTAAACCAAACGTTTTCAGACTCATCAGTCAAAGTCTTGTCCCTTAAGAGCCACTTAGTTGTGCTTTTGAATGAAACCAGGGACAGAAAATGAGTATCCCTGTCATGAAATTTGAAAGTCATTCTTGTGAACATGGAGTTTTTCCATGAAAGGAAGATGAAGAACTTGTACAAACTACCGTAATCAGACTCCCCAATGTCTCCCCATTAACCTAAACATATGTCAGTGAGTGTATATCAATGGATATAAATGATATATATTTAAAAAGACCAATTAACATGCTCACATAAATTTTTCTAAATTGTCCTTATTTGAATCTAAATATTTACATAAACAGATTCCAGACCTACAGTTGACTAATTTTAAGTCTTCTGTGATTAAAACACAGTCAAATGTGATAAAGAAAAAAGAAAAGTTGGTGGAATCAGCCATTGATAATAAAAATTCCTTGGAATTAAATTGTGTGACACTAAGAGATTTTATTGGACTTCTGAGAGGTTATAACAGAGTTTTATTTCAAAATGAAGTTATAATCCACTCACCCATATCCTTCTCTCAAATGATGCTTTTGTGCACAATTAAATTATGCTCTGGAACTCATTGCTGACCTTTTGGGATGTCTTCCAAATAAAGTTGAGCTTTTTCCTTATGGCCGCTTCTAAAATGAATCCAGCTTTTTCCTCCTTTTCTAGAAGCAACTGTCCTGAATTAGAAGAAAATTGTGGTTTTTCAGAACCAAACAGAACCCGATGCTGTTTTTCCTTAGTATCCTATTTATCTAGTGTTGCTGTGACAGAAATACCACGAGTAGATGAGTTTAACAAACAGAAATTTATTCTCTCACCATTTAGGGGCCTCAGAGTCCCGATTCAGAGCATGGGCTGTAGGGGAGGCTTTCCCTCTTGGCTCTGGAAGAAGGTCCCTGTCTCTTCAGCTTCTGCTCTCTGATTCCTTGGAGATCACCCTGTGTCTTGGCATATATACCCCATCTCTACTCTGCTGGTTTATTTCATCTCTTTTGTGTCTCAAAAAAGATTGACTCAAGATACACCCTACATTCATCATGCCTAATTAACATAACAAAGAAAACTCTTTCTCAAATGGGATTGAAACCACAGGCATAGAGGTTAGGATTTACAACACATATTCTTAGGGACATAATTCAATCCATCATAATAAAGGACAGATTCACTTTCTAACCATGTTTCAAAAATTTGGTAGACATTTTATGTGTGTGTGTATGTGTTTTGTTTTGTTTCTCCTCATGCCCCTTGATGCCATTACAGGATAGAGAGAGAGAGAAAGAGAAAGAGCCTTGGTAGCACAAATGGTTGAGCGCTTGGCTACTAACTAAAAGATGGCAGTTTAAACCTACCCAGAAGCTCAATAAGAGAAAAGACCTGGCAATCTGGTTCCATAAAGATTATGGCCTAGGAAACCCTATGGAGCAGTTCTACTCTGTCATGTAAGGTCACTATGAGTCAGAATCTACTTAACTGCACACAACAACATAGAGAGAGTCCCTAGGTAATGCAAATATTTTGCATGAGACTATTAAGGAGCTCTGGTAACATAGTGGCTAAAGCACTTGACTGCTAACCAGAAGGCTGGTGGTTCAAACCCACCAGCCACTCCTCCTCGGAAGGAAGGTTGGGCAATCCTACTTCTGTAGTGATACTGCCTCGGAAACCCAAGGAGGGGTCGCTATGAGTCGGGGCCGACTCGACGGCACATAACAACAACAACAACATTAACTTAAAAGGAGCTCTGGTAGCGTAATGCCTAAGGCACTTGACTGCTAACCAGAAGGCTGGCGGTTCAAACCCCCCAGCCACTCCTGGGAAGGAAGATGGGGCAATCTACTTCCGTAGTGATACTGCCTCGGAAACCCAAGGAGAGGTCGCTATGAATCGGGTCTGACTCGACGGCACATAACAACAACAACAACAGCAATTAACTTAAAGGCTGGCAGTTCACACCCACCCAGCCGTACCACAGAAAAGTCCTGGCATCTGTTCCTGTTAAGCTTAGAGCTGCAAAAACTATATGGAGCAGTTGTACTCTGTAACACACATACATATATTGTTGTTGGTCACAGAGGCCCTGGTGACACAGTGATCAAGCACTCAGCTGCTATCCAGAAGGTCGATGGTTCAAACCCACCAGCCATTCCTCAGGAGAACGGTGTGGCCATTGGTTTCTGCAAAGATTTACAGCCTTGGCAGCTCTATGGGGCAGATCTACTCTGTCCTTACAGGGTCACTGTGAGTCAGAACGAACTCAAGGGCAATGGGTGGTGGTGGTGGTTAGTTGCCATCAAGTCAATTCTTACTCCTAATGACCCCATGTCATTATGGGGCATGCAGGGTAGAGCTGGTTCAGAGGGTTTCCAAGGCTGTGACCTTTGGGAAGCAGATTGCCAGGCTTGTCTCCCAAGGAGCCTTTCTACTGGTAGCAGAGGACTTAACCATTTGTGACATATTTCAGCACAGCATCCCACTCTTAGCTATCTCTTGATCTTATCTCATCTTTAGAGTTCTTTTTTTTTTTTCAGTCCATAACCACCAAAATCCAGTTTTCATAATATTAGTCTTCTTCTGTGCCTGTTACTGTAGAATCTTTTAAAAGTCTTTTAAATATTTATCACATGGAATTAGTCAACATTTTCCAAGGCCAGAGAGATCTGGGAATCATTTCTGAATAGCCTTTGCCCATTGGTCTAATTATTTAAACAAGCTTAATGATTAAAACAGAGTAAACTAGTTATGGTGTGGGTAAAATGCTATGCTTATATTTCAAGTTTCCCACAATTTACAAATAACTAAGACAGTGAATGTCTGTGTCTCTGTCCCTAGCTTGTGAATGTGACCCTGATGGGACCTTATCTGGTGGCATTTGTGTGAGTCACTCTGATCCTGCCTTGGGGTCTGTGGCTGGCCAATGCTTGTGTAAGGAGAACGTGGAAGGAGCCAAATGCGACCAGTGCAAACCCAACCACTATGGACTGAGCGCCAGTGATCCCCTCGGCTGTCAGTGTAAGTCAACATGGGCAGTTCCACCAACCTGGATGCATTTTAAAGCTTGGGGATGTCTCTGTCAGCCCTAAATTTCAGGAATTATAAATAATAAGAGTCCTGCCAGCCTCTGAATTTTTAAAAATTATACAACACCTTCTGCAAACTTTAGGGAGTTAGTGGAGATCTCTTGTCAATGGTTTGCTGAATTTATCATAGAAGACCAGCAGAGGGCATTCATATTTTCCCACTGTAGCAAAAGTAGGGGAAAATGCCAAGAAACATAATGCCAAGTTGCAAAACCTTTGAAAAACAGCCTCCACTAGGACTCTCCTGAGAGCTATATACAAATTCATTGTTACGTTATGCATTTCTGCGTAGATTGATGACTTTTTTGTCAATTTTCAAGGGCTAGACTCTTATCTTTTTTAAAATTATTTTTCCCCTTTCTTCTCACATTCCTGATAGTATTAGTTCATATGTTCTCTGACAAAGGGAATTAAAAAACCAAAGAGTCAGAGGAAAGGTTGAGGGGAAGTAGAACCTCAGCAGTTTTCTGAGGTCAAATGGCTGACTCTTGGCTATAGGATCACAGAAGTTTAGAGCTGCATAAGGCATTCGACTGCTAACCAAAAGGTTGGCAGTTCAAACCTACCACCTGCTCCACAGAAAGATGGGCAATCTACTTCCGTGAAGATTTACCACCTTGGGAAGCCAGCCGGGGTCTCTGTGAGTCAGAATTGACTTGATGGCCGTGGATTTGGGTGTTTTTAGAAGACCTCCTAGAGTTTCAGATTCCTCAGGGAACTCGGGGTAAATCATTTCCATTCAGTTGCCGAGTCCTGCTCTGTATTTTTGCCCATATAAAGAACTGGGGGCTGTATTTACATGTTTAGAGCGCAACATTTTGAATTTTCCAGTAATAAAATGCTTCTTCTTTTTGAGTTTAATTGCAAGATTAAATTTCATGATAATGAATTATGGTTGAGCCAATTTCCCTCATAACTTCCTGCACTCCATGTGGACTCTGGAGTCCCCCCTGGTTTAGTGACTAACTTGATGTCCTTGGAGAACAAGCTAAATATTGTTTTTTCTTTTGTTTTTGTTTTCTTTGTCACAGCTTTCTTGAGATATAATTCACATACCATACAACTCATCTTTGAAGTGTTCAATTCAATGGTCTTCAGTATATGCACACAGTTGTGCAACACTGACCACAATCAATTTCAAAGTATTTTATTACCCAGAAAAGAAATGGGGCCCTTCAGCTGTCACCCCCAATTTCCTCCCCACACCTAGCTCTAGGCAACCACCAATTGACTTTCTGTCTCTATAGATTTGCCTCCTCTGGATATTTCATACAAATGGAATCGCGCAGTATATATGCTCTTTTGTGGCTGGCTTATTTCTCTTAAAAATGTTTTCAAGGCCCTCCATGTTGTAGTATACATCAGTACTTTATTCCTCTTTATGGCTGAATAAGATTCCATTGTGTGGATATCACACATTTTGTTGATCTAGTCATTAGTTGATGGGTGTTTGCATTGTTTTCACGAACAATGGCTTTACCTGCAGGAGAATCAGCAGGGAGCACTCTGCTAGCATCATTTCTTGGCTTTCAGGAAATAAGCAGGATTCAGAAATGTCTATGGTAAAAAGAGAAGGAGGGGGAGAGTGAAAGGGAAAATAATAAGGCAGTAAGAAAGAGAGAAGAGGAAGGGAAATGATGGCTGCATTTGCCAGAGAAGGACCATCTTTAATAACCATGACACTCAATAACCTCTGCCTCTGAGTCACCCAACCTGGCTGGCATCACTCAGTTAACTGTGCCTGGCTCTCTATCTTGCACAACTTCCTACACTTGCTTGTCTCCTCCTAATTACCATCCAATGGAACAGACATGAAGAAGGTCTGGAGGTGTCTGGCACTGGATTTCTTATGCAGGGTTCATGTAGTACACTCATTGTGTAACCAGTAAACTTGTCAAAGCAGGCTACTCTGTTCTTCAGGCCACATGTTTTGTTCAGTGCAAGTTATTAAAGACAATGTCAAACAGTGGAGAAAGAAGAATGAGAATAACGGTGTATGCTGTGCTTTCAGCCTGCAACTGTAACCCCCTCGGGAGTCTGCCATTCTCAACCTGCGATGTGGATACAGGCCAATGCTTGTGCCAGTCATTTGTCACCGGACCACACTGCGAAGAATGTGCTGTATGTATTTGCCAATGATTTCCCTCTTATATCCAACTATGTAGAGTTCTACTGCCATTGCCCAGAAGAGACTAGGTCTTGTTAAAACTTTCCTTATCCTAATGCTCTATTTCAGTTTGAAGCCTGATGAGAATTATTGTTAGATGCCTTTGGTACTTAGTGATGGGCACTTTGAGGCAAGCTTATTGGCACCTTTTAGTGAGCAAAGTTAGTACTTTCTACTCTTGACTATAGGACATCTTGGCCTTGGCTGGGGTGATGTGATGGGAAGAAAAGATTCTGAAGAACTTTATTTCTCATCAGCAGAAAGTATGTAAATTAGTACACTAATGTCTTTTCTCCCAGATTTGTGTTCAAAATGGGTCCATCCTTTAAGAATCACCTCAACTGCCTTTCCTCCACAAAGTATCATATTCTGCTTCATATAGTATATTGTCATTATTTGTGTCAATAACATGTCTCCCACACTATTCCACCACATCATTAACTGCCTTACCTTTCTTCCTCAGTGGCAATTTTTCAAGCAATAGCATCTATGAAAATGTTGAATCAAATAAGGTATACCTTTTCAAAGAACACTGAACATTATAAGAATGTGTGTGTGTGTGTGAATTTATATATGGAGAGACAGAGAAGTAGAAGGAGGAGGAGGAGGGAGATATCAGTTTAATCAAATTGTCTTGGGCCAGTGCCATGCTACAGCCAGCTCATACTGGCTTTCTAGAGCTGATTATTGAACTTTCAGTTATTTTGCAAATCAGTTGTTAAAAGCAACCCCTATTAGAAGTTAAATTGTAAAACTTACAATTCCATAAATGATGTTTTTAAAAAGTATGAAATGCTGAAACTCCTCACTTCCAAATTGTTTTACATTTTACTATCATCTATGCACCAATGTTATTTTTGCCTATTGTATCTGTATGGCAGAAATCCTTTGTAATGGCAAGCTATTGTCCATCTCTTCCCAAATCCTCATTCCCAGACATCATGTTGGTAGCTTGAAACTGGCTATGTAGCGTAGTGCCTAAGGCACTTGACTGCTAACCAGAAGGCTGGTGGTTTCAAACCCACCAGCCACTCCTCGGAAGGAAGGTTGGGCAATCTACTTCCATAGTGATACTGCCTCGGAAACCCAAGGAGGGGTCTCTATGAGTCGGGGGGGGGGGCTACTCGAGGGCACATAACAACAACAACAACAATAGTGATTTCAGCAAACACTATAAACCAGTCCCCCTCCTCCGCTCAGCAGAGAGCTGGTTGTTAAACTCTTACCAGCATACCACTGGGTTGGGCCGAACTGACCCAGGCACAGATGTCTGTAGGTTTACCCATTGCTTTCCTGAACGTGCCAAACAGTAGACGAGAAGAGCGTTTATCTGCCTTTTTGTGGTCTGTCAGATCATGGGATCTTGCTTTTATCTCTAATATATGATCCTCTCAACATCCCTACTTTTCTTTGCTCATAAACATTTTGCACAAGGTCTTTAAAAAAAAAGAAAAACCTTTAGGTTTAAATATAATACGGATTCCTGTGGGAAATAAACATGAGCATGGAAATATATGAGCATATATGTTCTGAAAACATTTTTTACTTCACAAGAAATGTATCATGCAATTAGGGAGTTCAAACCCAACTCTTTTCTTTGTTCTCCAATCTTGGCAGCCCATCATGACATTTTAGAAAGAAAAAATAAAAACTTAACCTAATAAAAGAACAGTGACCTTGATGTGTCTGAAGAAATTTAGTTGATAAATAAGAAACATATGCCTATTAGGACATACTTTTGTGCTAAAATCCTAAGTCATTTTACTGAAAACATATTAGGATAGAGTAGGGGAGGTGGGGAAAGAAAGCAAGGAAGTAAATAGGAAGAAAAGATGCTGTAAGGCAAGGCAGATAGGCTAGAAGTTTTATGTTAAAGACAGAGAGAATGTGAGCTAGCTCTCACATTAGTTCAGCCACGGCAAATTGCTGTGACCATGTGTGTAACACAAAGAAGAATACACAGTTGGTTAAAGGGTCAACAAAGACAGCAAATGAAATCATTCCAGACAAATGCCAGACTCCAGTCCAAATTCTTTTGTGAATGTGGTAAATACATAATATGTAACAAGTATTTGACATTTTAGCAGTCTTCCCATGTGCAATTCAGTGACATTAGTTATCCTCATTATGTTGTTCAGCCATCACCCTTATCCATTCCCAAATTAAACCATCACCCTCAACAGAAGGTTCATGTCCCCTCCATTCCCAAATTAAACCATCACCCTCAACAGAAGGTTCATGTCCCCTAAGCATTGGGTCCTCATTTCCGCGCCCCACCCCCCAAGTCTCCCCTGGTAACTACTAATAAACGCTGGTCTCTACACACATGCCTATTCCAGGTATTTCATAAAAGTGAGATCAGACATTATTTATCCTTTTGTCACTGACTTACTTCACTCATCCAGGCTGACTTTTTTCATTGGCAGGTTAACTGTCAACATGTGAGGTATATAGACTTGATTGTGTTTATAGGAGGAAAATAATGAGCTGGGGCAGCCGCATGGGAAAGGGTCCCTGGGGGGTGAGTCCAGGGTATCACCAGATGTACCACATCCATATCTATCAATGGTACCCTGGACCTTCCCCAAAGTGACAAAAATGGTTGTCCTCCATGACCAACAGGGAGTTTTGACAACCTCATGAGTGAAGTCGTCCTTCATTTCTTTGCCCCCTAAATTGAAGTTTGGTTTTGAAAAAAAAATCAGAAGTTCTTTGCAACATTTTGCAACAGATTACATCACATTTAAATGTTTAAAATGAATCACTTTAGGTGTAATTTTACCAATATAACAAAAATCATGGGTAATTTAATACATCCATTCCAAATGATAGTTTCATGTCTATTAAAATTTAAATTGTATCTGAGATTTAAGGAGAAAATATTTTCTAAAACTTTTATACTAAATGTTATCAGATTTTTAAAAAATAGTTGTTTATATTTTACCAGCTGTTTATATTGAATAAAGGTCAAGATGTTGCAATGATAAAAAACGTCTTCAACAACAGACCTGACTCTCAAGCTGGGGCCACATTATGCCAAAACAACTGGTTTAAAAACAAAGGGCTCTACTAACCTGTGATATTCATATAACACCTCAAAATCGGCTTAATTAATTTTTTTTTCCCCAAACACTTCAGTATTGTGTAAATAAATTCTCCAGGGATTCTTACGCTAAGGGAACCTATCAGTTTTATAAAAGCAGTTGGAAACCAACTGGGAGAAGAACTTCTCCTGAGATGACCTTAAGCAATCCAGCTTGAGGATAAATTGATTCTGTCGCAGGAACTGTGTGGCTCTCATTGAGTATCACAGCTCTCCTCTCCTCTTCACTTCAAGCCCTGGGGACGGGAGACGTCTCTGCAGAGACCATTACCAAGTGTGTAGACAAGAAAAGTCACCATGTGATTGTTCTGGTTGTTTGACTATTTGGTATGCTTCAATTCAGTTGTGTGATTTTAATATTCTACTTTAGGACAGCAAACATCTTCATACACTGGATCACCTGAGCTTGTTTTCTTCATAGGTGGGATACTGGGGACTGGGAAGTCATCCCCATGGATGTTCTCCCTGTGACTGTGACATTGGAGGTGCTTATTCTAACACGTAAGTCAGTAAAATGAATCATGAAGTGTTGTGGAAATGCTCCTCATATTTCCACACAAAAGCACATTTTATTGATTTGTGTTTAGTCATAGGTGAAGGATCTTATTTATCAAGCAAAGTACATTAATAAACGGTGATCTAGAGACATTAACTACAACCCAGCTGATTTATTTTGTTGTTGTTGTTGTTGTTGTTATGTGCTGTTGAGTTGGACCTGAGTCAGACCCAACTCATAGGGACCCCTCCTTGGGTTTCTAAGGAAGTATCACTATGGAAGTAGATTGCCCTGGTTTGAACCACCAGCTTTCTGGTTAGCAGTCAAGTGCCTTAGGCACTATGCTACCACTTCAGCTATTTCCATGGGAAAGGTAAACAATCCAGCTGCCTGGATATCTCATGAACTGTTGTGTGAAAAAATAGTTACCATCAAGTCTACACCGACTCATGGCTACTCTATGTGTGTCAGAGCAGAACTGTGCCCCGTAGGACTTTCAGTGGCTGATTTTTCACAGATAGATCACCAGGTATTTCCTGCAAGGTACCTCTGAGTAGAGTCCGGCCTCCACCCTTCTAGTCAGCGTGTTAACCACTTCACCACCCAGAGATGCTGAAGCGGTGTGTAGATGCCTGGAAACGTGTGACTTGACCTTCAGAGGACACCAACTTGTTGCCATCCTGTAAGGAGAGGCCCTCCCTTCTCCTTTCCCCTGTTTTCAGAGCTGAGTCAGAGAGCCGTTGAGGAGAGAAGTGGCTACCTGGGTTCCAAGGGTCTGGATTCACTTTTCTAGATGAGACGTGTTGAGCCCATGCCTCTCAGTACCCTCTTATAGGACACTTAATCAATCATGCAAAGAACTGGCTCGATCTCAGGGGCCATTTAGCCCAGGACTCTCACCCCTTCATTTCACACTCGTCTTCTCTACCTCCTGCCTTTTTTCACATGGACTTTTTTTCCCTCAGGTGCTCTCCCGAGGACGGGCAGTGCCAATGTCGCCCCCACATCACTGGCCGGACCTGCACAGAGCCAGCTCCTGGCTACTTCTTTGCTCCTTTGAATTTCTACCTGTACGAGGCAGAGGAAGCCACACCGTCCCAGGGACTCGCGCCTTTGGTTGGTATTTCACTGCCTCTTCCTCTAGACTTCATTTGATGGAGTGTCAGCCAACACATACAGCACACCCTTGAGATCCTAGTTAAGGTGTCTACAGAAGAATGCTTTTGATCCCAAACACGGATCAGAGCAGAGTGTAGTACATCCTGGAACTGCAAAGTACACACATTCTTGAGGGCAGGGCCTGTGTTTTGTTTATCTTTATATCCCAGTTCTAGCAGAGCCTGGCACATGGCAACCCGCACATAACGATGAGCTGGACTAAAGTGTCATGAAGCTGACTTGACTTTGGCTCTTTAATGCATTGATCACAAAAAAATGTGTTTACCCAGCATCTATTTGTCTGTCTCCCCAATAAACCATATGGGGGCAGGGAGCATGTATATCGAGGTCATTCATTACACTAGTGCCTAGCGTGGTACCTGACACATAGTAGGAACTTTATAGATATCAGTGGAATGAATGAATAAAATATAAACAATTAGAGAAAATATTAAAATACATGTTAGACTCTGATTTTTCAGTTGTAGGAGTGATAAATCCCTTTTCCTAAAGTAAAAAAAAAAAAAAAGAATAATTCATGTCATGTATTCAGTTTAAAAAGGAGACCTGGTGGCACGGTGGTTAAACGCTCAGTTACTAACTGAAAGCCTTGTAATTTGTACACACCAGCCACTCCCTGGGAGAAAAAGTCTGCTTCTGTTAAATTTCAGCCTTAGAAACCCTGTGAGGCAGCTCTTCTCTCTCCTACAGGGTTCCTATGAGTCATAATTGACTGGACCACAATGACTTCAGTTTATTCAGTTAAAAACTGAAATAACAAAAGAATAATTCATATCCTACTCTCTTGGACAAATATCATGACCTTTTATAAATCTTCAATGTCATATTACCTTTCATCTACTAAGCAAGTACTGTGACATTGTTTATCTTCAAATTCATATTTCACCACTTTTAAAGTGGTCTCTTCTCACATGCATATTATGAGTTTTCCCTTCCAAATAACCCCTTTTTTGCCTTGAAAAACAACTTGAGATATAATTTAAAACAAAAAATGAGATCCATTGTTAAAAGAACAGTTGAATGATTTTGAGTAAATGTATAGAACCATGTAACAATCACTATCCAGGTTAAAAACATCTGCTGAAGAGAAAACTAATGAAACAACTTCCATCATAAATAACTCCCAAAGGACCAGGAATGACTTACTTGCCATCTTAGATACAGTAGTAACCTCAACACAGAACTTGTCTTTGGAAAAATTAAAGCAAATTAAGATACCAGATATCCAAATACTAAATGAAAAGGTAAATAATTGTGATGGTATAATAGAAGTGCCTGTGATTTTTACTTGGTATACGGATCTCTTCAATTGTACTTCTTTATCTTATATTTTTTACTTTAAAAACCTTTCTTGAGTCAAAGTTTGATCAAAATCAACAAGTAAAGATTATGGCTGAGTTTTATTGCTTTATATTGACTTTATTTTGTTATTTACTCTTTATAAAGTGGCATAGCTTAGGGACATTTGCTCCATTTGCCTCAGTGTAAGTAAAAGGTCATTTCTATTTTAAAAAGTAAAATTAACAAGTGTGTGTTGTTGTTGTTGTTATGTGCCATGGAGTCGGACCTGACTCATAACGACCCCTCCTTGGGTTTCTGAGGTGGTATCACTATGGAAATAGATCACCCAACCTTCCTTCCCAGGAGTGGCCGTACAGAACTGTGTGATAATCACTATCCAGGTTAAGAACATTTCCTTCAGACCAGAAAGTTTTCTTGTGCAAGTTGGTGGTCAAATCCCACTCACACACCAGAAGACCATTCTGATCTACTTTCTCTGTATAGATTTCCTGGTTTGAAATTTTCGTGTAATTGAAAACATACCATATGTGTCTTCTATGTCTGGCTTTTTTCCCCTGGCATAATGTTTTTGAACATCATCCATGTTGCAGCGTGCATCAGGTTCTTTCCTTAATGCTCTGATGTACCCCAATGAAGTGCAGGGAATTGCTTAATACGGCCCTTCTAGCCATCGTCCTCCATTTTCTGTTATGTTGTAATCCTAATCCCTATGCCTGTTTAAGGAGCTCTGGTGGTGTAGTGCCTAAGACACTTGACTGGTAACCAGAAGGCTGGTGGTCAAACCCACCAGCCACTCCTTGGAAAGAAGGTTGGGCAATCTACTTCCATAGTGATACTGCCTCAGAAACCCAAGGAGGGGTCTCTATGAGTAGAATTGACTCAATGGCAGGGAGTTTGCTTTGGTTTTTTATGCCCGTTTAGGGAGGCAAGGGGAGCTCTGGTAGCATAGTGGCTAAGACACTTGCCTGCTAACCAGACGGCTAGCGGTTCAAACCCACCAGCCACTCCTCGGAAGGAAGGTTGGGCAATCCTACCTCCGTAGTGATACTGCCTCGGAAACCCAAGGAAGGGTCGCTATGAGTCGGGTTTGACTCGATGGCACATAACAACAACAACAACAGGGAGGCAAGCATCTTGAGTCCCATCCTCCTGGAGGGTGTGACTCAGGTCACCGCCCATTTTGTGATGTATTGTAAATCCTACTCTCTGTGCCTGCTTACGGTGAGATGTATGGAGTCCCGCCTTGCTGGAGGGGGTGACTCGAGTCACCACCCTTAGCTTGAGGGTATATATAGGGATATTCTGGGAAAGCTCACTCTCTTGCTACCCATCTGCATTTCGTTCATCATCATCTCACGCCTGGACTTGAGACAGCAGCTGACATCTGACCTGCTGATTTGGACTCACCAAGCACTGCCATCACATGAATCCTCCAGACCTACCCACAGACCTGGGACTTGCCAGCCTACCAGTCTCTCAGCCTCCACCACCCCCACATGAGCCACTTCCTTGGGAGTTTGTGAGTTCTGTGAGACATTACAGTGAACTATGGAACCCTAAGACAGGAGAGAGATTATTGAGGGGAGGAGGAAGAGTTTATGTCAGAGATGATGGAGTGGCATGGCAGTTTGGAAAAGTTGGACATTTGGGACATCTTTAACCTCTACCTCATAGGGACCAACCTTGTGCTGCTCTTTCTAAAAGAAATTATCCATGCACCCATTGAATGGAGAAACCATATTTTGTTTATCCCATCAGTAGTTGTACTTTGTTTCCACTTTTTAACTATTATGAATAATGTTGCTAAAAGATTCATGTATAAATCTTTTAATGCCCTCACTTCCTTTTGGATCACTAAAGGAGCTCTGGTGGTATAGTGGATAAGGCATTTGGCTGCTAACCAGAAAGTCGGTGGTTCAAACCCAACAGCTGTTCCATGGACAGAAGATGAGTCAAGCTACTTCTGTAAAGATTTACAACCTTGGAAACCCAATGGGGGTCACTATGAATCAGAATCAACTCAATGGCAGAAGATTTGGATGGAATCTTTCACTGTACTCAAAAAAGAGGGAACATATAAATTCCACATGTTGTTGTTGTTGTTATGTGCCGTCGAGTCAGACCCGACTTATAGTGACCCCTCCTTGGGTTTCCGAGGCAGTATCACTACGGAAGTAGATTGCCCCATCTTCCTTCCGAGGAGTGGCTGGTGGGTTTGAACCACCAGCCTTCTGGTTAGCAGTCAAGTGCCTTAGCCACTATGCTACCAGAGCTCCCATATTAAGTAAAAAAAAGAAAGAAAGAAACCTGTCCACCATGGGTAACCCTGCTGGTATTTGAAATACCAGTAACATACCTTCCAGCACCATGCAACCCACCACAGAATGACTAACCGAAAGACAAGTGATGGGGGATAGCCAGACAGGCATAAGTAAGGCTCTAAATTAAAAGGTAGCAGAGAGAAGAAAAAGACTGGAGATGGAGATATGAAAGGAAGTGAATGCAAGAACACATCTTATATTTTATGAATAATTGTTTTAATGCTCAAATTGGTGAACTAAGAATTACAATGATTTTTCTTGGTGGATCTTCAAAAGGACATATAAATACATATGTAATATGCACACATATATACATGGGTACACACTCTACTTATATACACATATATTTAGGAGTGCTGGGGTGGTGCAAATGGTTGAGCACTCAACTACAAGCCAAAATGTTGGCAGTTCAAACCCACTCAGAGGCACCTGGGAAGACAGGCCTGGCAATCTGCTTCTGAAAGGTGACAGCTTTGAAAACCCTACGGAGCAGTGCTACATGCAGTACACATGGAGGCTCCGTGAGTAGGATTCAGCTCAACAGCTACTAACAACACATGTATTGATAGCTGTATGCATATACACCTGCACACATATCCTTGCTACTCAAATGTGGCCTGAAGACTAGCAATGTTGGCACTGCCTGGGAGTTCATCAGACCTGGAGAGTCTCAGACCCCACCCTGTTATGTTGTTGTTATTTTGCCGTCGAGTCCGCCCCGACTCATAGCGACCCCCCCCCCCTTGGGTTTCCGAGGCAGTTATCACTACGGAAGCAGGATTGCCCAACTTTCCTTCCAAGGAGTGGCTGGTGGGTTTGAACCGCCAGTCTCCTGGTTAGCAGTCAAGTGCCTTAGGCACTACGCTACCAGAGCTCCCCAGACCCCACCCTAGACCTACTGAATTACAATCTGCATTTTATCAGGATCCCCAGGTGATTCCCGTGGGAAGCCTTGATCTATTTTCTTACAAGAGTGATCTGTGGAGACAAGATGATTTAAAGTCACAGATTATACTGATTTAATTCACTGTAATATGTGTTAACCTTAATTCTACAATGTGTGCTTTCTTTATAAAGTTAGCTTATAATTTTGTGCTATAAAATAAACACAATTGGTAAGGAAAATAAAGGACAAAAAAAAAAGTATAATTCCAGTATGGTATTTTATAGGGTCCTTATCCCAGGGTGGTCCAGGAGCCAGTCAGAGAGCTTGGCTGAGAGTCTGAATAGTAAAGTCTGGAATAACAGAAGTTCCTGACAGGGGTCACATGTATAAAATTAATCTTGTTTGTAAAACTAACAATGTAAAATCAA